CAATTGGTTGAATCCATGGGTATCCGAGCTGTGGATAGGACTGTCTTCATTTTGCTTTATGCATCTTGTAACTCCACAGCTGCTTGGCTCCTCCTTGGAAGGAGGTATAGGGCATGAATGTCACATAAAAATTGGGGTTGTTGGGGCTGGCAGGTGGCATCATGGTTAAGGGCAGTGGACTTCCACATGGCTGACTGCAGTTTGAGTCTTAGACCTGGAGGCTTGCTTTCTCACTTTCTCATCACTCTTTCTCTCTTTGGTTAAATTTAAATAAATAAATAAATACAGTTAAATAAAATAACTTAAAAAAAAATTGGAGTTGCAACAGATTTTTCTTATTTGTAACTTACCTTGAAATTTTTTGTACCTGAGACTTAAACTTCAGAGCTGTAGGAAATCTTTAATCTGGATGAAGTTTCTCAAAACCATAAAGTATTGGGTTATTGGAAAAGTCAAGACATGCTTTTCTGTACAAAAATGTGTAGACCCAATACATTGAAGAGTTAATTGGAAACTCATGAGTGTTTCTAATGGAGCAGAGGCAAATGTTTCTTTTCCCTGGCTAATGTTTGTTTTTTGATTGGCCTTGTATTTTATCTGGATTGTTTACTTTAGGAACTCCTCTGAGCAAAAATTCTAAGTTGATTATTATTTTTTGTTTGGCTGTCAGAGAACTACATTTTTCCTCAGGCTGCATTATTTGATTCTTAAAATGTAACTTGAAAAATAATTCCTCCAAAGAGCAGGATTTTGGATCTCTTGAAAATGTGTCACTTTTTTGTTACTTCTCTGTGTGGATGTCTTCTTGTCATTCAGATCTCAGTTCATATAAGCCCACCCTGACCACCACCATATCAAGGGAGCTGCCAGGTTGCTCTGACACATCACCTAGTAAAATTCTCGGTAGAGCAGTGATCATGTATTTAGAGAAGTTTTTGCTATAGGGTGCGTGTGCTCCCCTCAAAGACAGAGAGGGAAAGATAGATGGAAAGTGAGAAATCACCCCCGGGGGGATGGCCATGTTGTGATCTCTTTTCCCCCTTTCCTCTTGGAACCTTGGGCACGCACACATGCGCCTGGTGTGAGTTTAAGCCACCAGGTCCGGGACTCGGACCAGAGTCAACTACATGGGAGTCCAGAGACATAGCCATTACGCCAGCTGCTGGTCCCATTTTGCTTATTTTTATTGTGTATTGCTTGTATGTTTGGTGTTTGCCTGTTTTCCTCCCCTAGAAAATACCAGCATAATGTGCCAGCTGCCATAGCCCCCGTACCTATGCCTGAAGCACAGCAGCTGTTCAGTAAACATTATTTGAAGAGTTGTGTGATTGAGTTTTTCAGATTAGGAAGGTATTTTATGTAGACTGAAATCTCTCATTGTAGGGCTAGTTAGAATGTTAGTTTGATTGAATAAATACAACATTTGCTTCTTTTAATACTGGCTGTTTGGGAATTTCATATGAATGCAATTAAATTTTATGTTTAGTGCCTGGCTTTTTTCATTCGGCATAATTATTTTGAGACTCATTGAAGTTATAGTATGTATGAGAGAGATTTTGCTTCCTTTTTTTCACTTGAGTAACAAAGTTGCAAGAATATGTATGTTAGTTTATACTTTTACCTGTTTATCTTCTCCTCTTCTCCCCCTATCTCTATGCTTTTATACTATGTCTTTGTATATATTGGATGGTCTGAAAAGTCCTGATGCATTTTTGCATAAAAAAAGTACATCACTTTTCCGACAATCCAATTTTATTTACGAGAGAGATTTTTGCTATAGGGCACATGAGTTTACCAGAAAGACAGAGAGAGAGTGAGAAATTACCCTCCCACCAGGGGGGGATGGTCACACTGCAGTCTCTTCTCCATTCTCCTCTCCGGATTTGGGGCACACATACACACATGCTCAGCGTGAGTTTTAAGCCGCTGGGTTCAGGACTCGAATCATGGTTGACTATGTGGGAGTCTAGCAATGTAACCATTATGTCATCTGCTGGTCTCAACATCCCAATATTTTAATTTGCTATAGGGCATATGCACTCGACAGAGAGAAAGTACCCCCATGGGGGATGGTTACACTGCAATTCCTTCTCCATTTCTCCTTTTGGGATTTTGGGCATGGCTGTGTACATATGTACCTGGTGTGTTTTTTCTTTTTTTTTTTAAGAATAATTTAATTGATGGGACCAGCAGTAAGTGTAATGGCTATGTTGCTGAACTCCCATGTAGTTGACTGCTGTTTGAGTCTCGGACCCGGTGGCTTAAACTCATGCCAGGTACATGTGTGTGCACGCCCAAGATCCTGAGACAATAATGGAGGAGAAGGGATTGTGGCGTAGCCATCCCCCCTGGGGATTGATTTCTCGCTTTTTGTCTCTCTGTCTCTCTCTGTCTTCCTGGCGAGCACACACGCCCTATAGCAAAAACCTTTAAAAAAAAAAAAATTTAATTGAGAGCTGGGAAGTGACATGGTGATTAAGGGCGCTGGACTCCCACATAGTTGACAGTTGTTCAAGTCCTGGACCTGGAGGCTTGCTTTCACAATTTCCCTGTCTCTCTCTCCCTCTCTTACTCTGTCCCTCTCTGGTTGAATTAAAATAAATAAGTAAAGTTAAATAAAATAATTCTTAAAAAAAAAAAAAGAGTAAGTTAATTGTATTTTTTTTTTTAAGAGAGATTTTTGCAGTAGGGAGTGTGCACTCGCCAGAAAGACAGAAAGAGACAGAGAGATAGAAAGTGAAAAGTCACCCCCTGGTGTCCTTTCTCCACCAGTCTCCTCTTGGGATTTTGGCACACACGCATCAAGTGTGAGTTTCAAGCTCCCGGGTCTGGGATTCAAACCGTAGTCAGCCATGTGGGAGTCCAGTGACATAACTACTTCGCCATCTGCTGGCCTCAGTTACTATTTTTTAATTTGATGAGAGAGAGGAAAGACAGAAAGCGAGAAAGCAAGCTGCCATGTCCAGGAGTTGAACCATGGTTGGCTCTGTGAGTCGAGTACCTTCACCGCCACCACCAGCCTCTGCCGGTGTGTTTTTAAGTCTCTTGGTGTAGGACTTGAACCATGTAGTCAGCTATGTGGTATCCAGCTGTCTTAACCAGCACATCACCAGTTGGCTCCCTATATATATTTTTTATTTAAAATATATCTCTTGTAGACAGCATATAATAGAATTTTACTTCTTTATACTGTCCGGCAGTCTCTTCTTATTGGGCTGTTTAATCCGTATATAGCTAATGTAATTTCTTGATATGATTGGGTTTAAATCTACTTTCTTCCTACTTCTTTTCCATTTATTCCTTCTAGTTTTTGTTCCTCTCAGTTCTTTTCTGTCTTCTTTTGGGCTAAGTAATTTTTTTTAGGGTACCATTTTTCTTTCATTTTTTAAAAAGAATTATTTAATTTTATTTATTCATTTATTTTAATTTGATGAGAGAAAGGGGTGGGGAGTGAGAAAGCAAACCACCAGGTCAGGTCCAGGACTCAAATCGTGTTTGGCCATGTGGGAGTATTCAGTGCCTTAACCACCATGCCATATGCTGGCCCCCCATTTTTATTTCTTAATTGCCAGAGGGCACGTGTACTCCCCAGAGAGAGACAAAGGG